AAACCATGTCGGTGACATGAACTGTGGTGATTGATCACCTCTATTTAGCCAAATCCCATTGCAATATCAGACTGAAACTCATTATTGCGTCAAGTCAAGATGCTACTTGAGTTAATGTATCAACAATAGGCCCTGTGCCTGTTGCTATAATTTATTAATGACCCAATAAAAGTAAGCAAGCGTTCGCTTTTAATAAGCCAAACGATTCGACAAACGTTGAATATCGTTAAGTGACGACATTTAAAAAGTTTTGCGTTATATTAAGCAACCTACGAGGGAGACTTTAAGAGAATATTTATTTTTTATGACGCATATGTAGAACATAAAAAAGTTGATTACATTTTGTGTGCCTGTGTAAATAATTAAATATTTTTGTTAAACTTATCCTTAATGTAGCGAGTACGGCTCTGGATCTCGGAATGATGACTCATCACCGATGAGTCATCGCCGGTGAGTCAGCGCTCGAATAATCGAGAGTGTGGAGCACGCTGGAATGTTCCAGAAGACGTAGGCGCTGAATAAATAAGGAACGACGCATCATGGAGAGTCAGTCAAGCTTTGGTACTCGCGACGAAATAAATAGACTCTTGTACAGAAGTGATATATAAATAATTAGTAGTAAAGTGTTTAGTTTTATAGTTTCTTAGTGTTTTAAGTGTAATTTAGCTATAAAATAAATAGTTTAGTTCGTTAATAAACCAGTGCGTGTTTTAATTCACACTACGAACAGTAAAAACGTTACATTAATAATCGTACATTTAAAATTTGTAATGTATTTTTTCTAAAAGCAACAATAAAATATGCAAACACAACCTAAAATAGAGGAATTTACTATTTATTTAGATTTGCTATAATATACCAAAAACATTTTGGTTTGAACTGACCCTCGTATCGTTTATTAATGACATTTAAAAAGTTTCAAACCACATCGAGTTTATATTAAATGGGCTGATGATAAACGTATACGCAATTTTCACTGAGATTGCTTTTGGTTTATAATCGCCCGATCGATATCCTTTTCTTTTTTACTTCTTAAAGAATAATATACCGCCATTTACATTCCTACCCTTATAAATATAATCTAAAATCAACTTTCTTATTTCAAATAGAACACCTCATATATTACATATATTACATTATTAAATTGTACATAAAATTTTGAGTATAATTACTATACCATGTCCTATACCTAAAGTGAATAGTTTTCGAGTTATTAATTTTTTGTTGTTAAAATTTGAGAAATGTGAACCAATCAAAAATTTGCTATTGCACTCTATTTTCGGGACATCCTGTATATATCAATAAAAATTACACTTTGTTCAGCCAAATCAAATGTTATTCAAAAATAAAAAAAATCTTTTATTTACCTCCACGTTTCGGGTTTAGATAAAAATGTTTTATATGTTTTCGATTACGAGCCCCATCAAAAATAATAGTCCAAATTTTTCACACACTCATTCCGCTTACACGTTGTAAATACGGCCTTATCAAAAATGTAAACATTTTCCTGGCAGTCGGTCATTGACACTGGGTTAGTTTTTTTGTTCTTTCCTGATACAGAAATTCAAATATTTTTGCTGAATGTCGAATTAAAAGTTAATGACATTCTTGAATCAACCAACTAGAAATCTCATGTGAATATTATATTATTCTGCAAACTGAATCTTTCCACTGCAAGTTTAGTTTTAATTAAATTTAAGTGTTTTTATCACCCTGTATAAAAAAATCTATTAATTTCTCGATATTATTGCTGACAGAGTTGAAAGTGTGAATACCAGGAAATTTTTTTTAATATTTAATAAACTTCATCCATAAACGAAAGAGATAAAATTTATATAAGCCATAAATTTGATTCACCCTGTAAATAATTCTCTAAAACAAACCACTTAAGATTTTTTATTATCCGTCTTAATTCAGTTACGTCTCACAATGATTCAATCTAAAGTTAAATTTGAAAAAAAGATCGATTGAAATAAAAAAATTAAGTATGTGTAGTAATCACTTTATAGTATATAATAACCATAACCAATAATAACCATTCTAACTTCAAGTTAGTAACGGTAAAAATGCCAAATATATATCCCTTGAAAATGGACTAACAACAGTTTTTCACAATGAAAGTGAAGAAAATGTTTTATGGACACTTCACGGTGTAGTCTCCACCTGAAATTAAGTTAAATCTATTTTACGAAATTAAAAGGTCAGTGCAATTTTTATACAAACCTTTGAAGTATTGGCGTTGAGAAACTATTTAATACTTTTGTATTGAGGTAATAAAATAATGTTTACATTTAGTATGAATTATTTTACATTTAAAAAGTTTTCGGTCGTTAGATAAAAAAATGTGAATCACTGTGAGCTGAATTTATATATTTTACGAATGCAATATTTTGTTTTTCTCCCTTTGAAATGTTATGTTCAGAAACAAAATCGGGGCGGGAATTTTTACAACATTTCGAATACTTTTACAAAAATATGTTTAAAACGATATTATATTTTATGTTCGGTTATGACTAAAGTTTGGACGGAATAAACAATAAAACTGATCGGTTTTAATTATTGGTTAGGATTTTAACGAATTTAACTTTTACGTTATTAATACAACGTTTTTTGGCATCCCAAAATTGTACCTGCTTTTATTACTATTTTAATATTATTTTTTAATTTGTCGTAGTATGATTATGGAGTAGAAATTTCTGGGATAAATTAAAGTTTATTAAAGTATTGGGATAATCTGAAATATAGAAACAATTTGCGAGAATATGCGACCTATTCTATTGATAGGAAATAGCTTGGCACAATACAGTTCTATGTATATGCAATGCTACCATTCCGGCTGTATAGGATTTATTTGGAAATTCTTTTGTATGCCGTAATTATTCCGCATTGAATGTGCTATCATATGCGGAAAATAAAAACAAAAAAAAAATATCCTAAAAATTTATGTGGCTAAATTTTATATAACAGATTCCGTTAAACAGAACAATATTTTAAGTTTTTAAAGCGCTATGTTTGAAATAAAATTCGTTATTATATTAGAGGTGTAAAAATAAATACGCGGGAGTTATATAAGGAAAATATTTTTTAATAAATAATCATTTAAGTTTTCAATCTCGTATTTCCTAAACAGGAAATACCATTTATCCAAAAAAGGTTGTTAGGAAATAAATAAGGCATCTGCAGCTAGCTTTAAACTATAGTATTAAAACTTTTTTTATATTTATGGCTTTATTTAATTTAAATATGAATTAAAAAAAATTATTTTTCTAGTTTATTTATCTAATCCTACATCTACAAGTTGTGACTTTATGGCATTTTAGTCACGGGCTGAAGTTATAATAATAAATTGCGAAAAAGTAAGGTTAATTAAATTCATCAGATGGCAAACTTTTAACAATTAAAATTGGCTTTTATTTCTTATTCTTATCAAGTTTTATAAACGCCATTTTAATTAAGAGTTTTATTAGGCACAAGCGAAGCTTGCGCGCGAGAGTTCAATAAAAACAAATGCCTAGAGAAGTTTATAAAACGAGTTACGTACTATACTTTATCTACGACGACAAAAATAAAAATTTTAAACCAATTTTAACTCATAAATATTTGACTTTTGACGAATTTAACCTCACTTTTTCGCAATTTTTAATAAAGCAAACTTCAGCCCATGACCAAAATGCCCAAAAGCCATTGTTGTTAACTTCAGCCCGTGAATAAAAGTAGATAAAGTATGCAACTCGTTTTATAAACTCGTGCCTAATAAAACTGGTAACTAAAATGGAGTTTATAAAACTTGATATGGAATATTCTATTTTAATGTTAAATATTTGTTTTAAAAACATTCTAAGATGGTAAAAATTATTAATAAGTTCTTATGAGTTCTTATAAGTTTGATAAACGCCATTTTAGTCACGAGAGAGCTTGCGAGCGAGTGCTTAATTAAAGAAGTGCTTAGAAAGGTTTATGTTGCATACTTTTTTTTAAGACAAATACTTAATATTATCTAAAAAATTATTTAAATTAAAGATTTGTATGAAGCGACATCTATATGAAAATAAATTAACCATCCCAATAAACATTTTTGATGTAATTTTCAACATTTATATTGACTGCTATAATTTTAATTAAAATTAACAATTATTGATACTTTAAATATATGATTATGTTAAGAAAATATTTTATCCTTTGATTTTTGTATCACTATAATTAAAAAGTATTAAAAATTCTTACACAGGAAATGTTAAAGGTACAAAAAGTGACAGTTGTATTTATTGGGAATCTACCGGTGTTAAAATCTCAAATTTTTCTGTGTAAATCAAAATTTATTACTTGAAAATAGACTAATAATCAGTTAAATCTGGTTAACTGCACAATCAAAAGGTCAGTACAAACGTTCATATATATATGAAACGAAAAGATTATATATATATATATATAATCTTTTCAAATATTATACTAACTTCAGCCCGTGACTAAAAACCTGTTGCTAACTTCAGCCCGTGACTAAAGCGCCATAAGGCCACAGCTTGTCAATGTGTATTTAAAAGATCACTTAGTGTCATGGAAACATGTACTGTCTGTCCACTCTAAGTTGGCGGAACTAAGGAATTTTGTAGTTTAGATATTAAAGAATTGTCGTACTGTGTGCTTTTAAAACAGATTTTATATTATAAATAATACTAGTACATATTATATACTAGTATTATTTATAATATAAAATCTGTTTTAAAAGCACACAGTACGACAATTCTTTAATATATAAACAACAAAATTCCTTAGTTCAGCCAACTTAGAGTGGACAGACAGTACATGTTTTGTGCATGTTTTATTTTGGTATTTAAAAAAATATATTTTTTCAAGGAAATATATATTCCTTATTTCCCAAAAAACATATGTCCAGAATTTTGTATTTAATATAAATTAAGCGATTGAATAGAGGTGTTAAATAAAATGTGCGTGTGCTATAAAAGGCAAACATGTACACGCAAGAAGTGGAGAAAACTCACCCAAAAAAAAAAAGCACAACTTGTATACTTTTCAGGCACAGATCACGCAGTAATAGTGTACGTAACCGGTAAAAAGAAGACGCGTTTGGCGGCGATTGCGGCACTACTGACGCTCCCGTGGCGGCGGCTAAACACTTTGAAAACTTGGCTGGAAATGCGGCGGGTTGGAGCGGTCGCGTGCTCTCAGAACTGAAGAGAGGCGTGCGCTGCAGCTTCAATATCTCGCGGACCGCCCGCAGATCCTGTTGCTTCCATTCTCTGAAGCTGAGTCTCCACGCCGGAGACTATACACTGCTTATCTACTTTCACGCCTTCTCATAAGATATCCTTTTATGCAATATTTAACCCTTAACTATTCTTACGACAATTACATTTGCTTTACTAAAGCCCTGGTTGAGGAGGATTCAGGATTGTACTTAGTTTTGGGTCAGTTCAATGTCCTCCAAAAACCCATCCAAAAATGGACGTATGGCCCGACCCGGCTGACAAAAATCCGCGGAGCGGCCTTAACCATAAACACTGTCATCCACGACCTTCTAGGGTGGATCTACCAGCCGGCGTAAAAACTTCGGATCCAACAAACACAGGTAATGCTGTGATTTGGCGGGATACGCAGGAGAACGGAAAGGGGGTAAAATAACCCTGGGAGATTAGTGGAGGATAATGTATTTGGGGCCTGCCATACGTTCCCATACTCATACTTATACTCAATTACATTTGCTCAGTACAGCTCGACACAGCTGCAGAAAGAATGCATCACGCCTATAACTGAGACAGACAATGATTGTGCTTGATTGAAGTATAGAGAGAACAGTACAGTCACTCGCGCTGTTTATGAATGAAGTTGTGCTAATTAAATGGCCTTGACTGATCCAAAATCATGTTAGAAGCTTGTATGTGCTGATTGAGACGCATTTTCTTTCTTCTTATACTTGTGCCACAGTAGAGAGAGAAAGCAGTATCGACACTTAAATGTCACAGTATAGAAAAGAGCAGTACAGACATTTCGGCTGTTGTAAAACTTTAACTTTAAACCGAAGTAAAAACAAATTTTTATTTTTGTGATATAAAACAGGGTGAAAAATATTGGGTATATCAGCAATAATAAGGGAAATAATATTTTTTAAGAGTTTCCTTAGTGAATTTAACGATACCCATATAAAATGTGAAAGGACGTGAATCGATAAGCGACTGATTTTATTTTTACAAATGGATGTCCATAAAACGTTTTCACAATGTGTATTAGCCGCAATTCACTTAAGCAAGTAAAACTTAAAAGCTACTGTGTGTTTCGATATAAAATTCCGATCAGATATATTTTGAAATAAGAAAATGCCAAAGATTTATAGTTTTATTTTATAAATCACTTCGTTTTACTTATGCTTTTTGCAAGCTTCAATTTTTCTATCGTCACGCATGTTGAATTTCACTGAATCGAGTGGAAAAAATGTTTTTTCAATATTTAGATTTCTTTTTTCTTCACAAAACTAAAACTATGCCATCTTTCCCTTCAACATTGTTTTTAAATTTTTTAATATCCCTTTTTCTGTTTGAAAAACCTGACGTGATCAGTTCTTGAGGTCGAATTCAATTCAGCGCATATAATTTCAACAAAAGGTTGGTGAAATTTTGTAGAGCTGTGTGTAATCTTTATTAAAAAACTAATTTTATTTTTAAGCTGGTATTTCATCTTAATATAGACCTTTTCAAATAGTTTTTCTCTAGAGGTCTCTACCTTAATCCAATTTTATATTAAAAATATGGAAATACGAGTAGTAGATCCAATACATTTAAATTAATTACTTCAGGGAATTATTATGTCTTATAATCTGATTTTATATTATTTTAAATCTCCAATAACTAAAAAGTAGAGATGTAACAAAATATTTATCATAGCTGGCTTTAAGAAAGATTCGACCAGTCGTTGTTTACTAAGCAGATATTCACCCCAATGTGCGAAACCTTTACTTTTCTTTAGTACCGAAGTATTGCCGACCTTATTGAGTTTTTTTAAATAAAGAAGCAGCTGACTTCAAGGAAGATTCAGCTCAGCCTTCAAAGAAAACTCTGCCCTATTCAGCCACATAACTTTATACACTTTTGTCTCTATCTTTAATTATTTTTTAAATAATTTAGGGAAGCGCTCTTGTAAAACGTCATACCTCGAGCGTTTGGTCGAACTGAAGTAGAATTTCAGATAAAATATTTTTTGATTTTACCATTTACTTTATTTGTTTCGCTGTTTTCCATTTACAATGCATTTAGCGATTTCGCACTTCACAACGCTTCAACACTTTTTTAAACGAACCCATAATTATTAGGTTTTTCTCTCCCCCTTTGCAATACAATAATACGCGTCCCGTCCACATCAATTTTAAATTACTCATTGTACAAGGGTAAGTTAAAAAGTTTAAAAAGTGCATTTCTATACAAGTCCAGAAACTTTTTAATCAATCCCCATAGTTTTAATGCATTTCGTTTTTTATATTGTTCTTCGTTTTTAAACACTCGTCCGACAATTATCATTAATCGTACATCAACACACCAGCATTCTTCATTACGAGAAGATCCTTATGCCTTTTAAATACAAGTATCTGAATTGTACCGATTTTTAAATAATACATATCTCAGTTTTAACCATCTTGGAAAAGAAAAAACTCCAAAAGTTTAAGGCAGCATTTGATAAAAGTTTTTTATTTTAGAAAATCGACCAAATTATTTTTGCTACACAATTAAAATGTTGCAGATCAATTTTCTCGACACCGATGGTGTTTTGAAAACAGTAATAAAGGAAATAAATTAAACTGATTCTGAATTATCGGAAATGTTGATCTGAAACCATGTCCGCTTTCCGCCTTACGGTATTGAAAAGCATTCCTAAAAAGTGGAAAAAGTGTAAAGTACATAAAGTAAAAAAGGAAAAAGGACGCTGGTACAAGGCACAAGAAGAGAGTCACTTATACTTAGGCCCGTATTCTGCCTGTGCAATAAAACGAAATAAATTCCTTGGAAAAATCACGATGGGATGGGATCAAAGATATAATTGTTAATTCTTGTCTTTTTGTATTCCAACGTGTTATTTTTGCGGATTTCGTCTCTATTACGGCTAATGTACAGATCCAAGAACTCCATTGTTATTAATAGCGGCCTATCGCTTCGAACACTACTAACTCATCAGATCGATATCGTTCAGTAATTATCCTACTTAATAGCGCGTTCTCATTAACCCAAACCTAAACTTTACAATGGTCTCTGCTTGCCAATTTGTCCTTACTCCGTTGATTTGCAATCGTTGTACCTCTTTGATTCGCCATCGACGGCACGCTGCTCCAGCTACTGCTGTACACTTTCAGGACAGACTAATTCCACTCGACATAACATTACCATCCCTTCTTCCGATCTCCTTAACCACTACTCCTGCTTCTCCACCTTAATCCTTAGCTCATTTACCCATCAATTTACAATTAATAAAGCCGTCCTTATTACTATCACAATCCTAATTCATCATCTTGTTGACGGTGTAACATCATAGCTATGCTTGGACATTTTACCATTTATACTTGCATGCGAATGGTATAACATTGGCTGAACAAATGTCGTGTTCTGGTCATCAAGACCATGTCAAAGTGAGAGAGATTGCCATTGATATTGATATATCAAAATCAGCAGTAGATCGCGAATGAATGTGGTTTTGCTCATGAAACGCATTTTTCGTGATAAAAGATATAAATACTTTTCAAAAACACTTATTAGGTATTGTCCAAATAGATAGACTATACTATTTAATTGAATCCTTAAAAAGAAACTTATTAATTTGACAGCAGTAGGTTTTGATTGTTTAAAGGAGTTGTTTGAGTCAAGTTGTTAGTGGTATATTTTAAACGATTTGGATGCAGGGTCGTATGCGGTGGAAAGTTAAATATCGGGGCCAGGCTCAGGGAAAATGGCAAAATGAGGAGACAAAGCAAAAGCGTACTGCCCCAGAGCATTCGTCTAAACTAAACAGAAACTCGAGCTTGCGGCCAGATTATGTCGCAACCAATACGAAATTAAAATTGTAAGTCATAATGACTGGATGCATGATGATGGAGGAGGGCGAGGGGTGGAAAGGGGTTGCATGTTATACCAGACGAGTATTGCCAACAGTTCCAACAGGTCATTCAAATTTTCTTGTTTGTTTTCTCGACCCCCAAAGCTATTCTCATATCCGCGCAACTGCGATATTTAGATCCTCTTCTTTCTTTTTGCCACCCACAGCCCCTCAATCAACTAGAACCCCGATTGATTTTGCCGTTATTGGTTGAACAAAACTATCTTAAAAAGCAAAACGGACGAAAGATGAGCAATTTAAATTTGGTAAATGGCGTATTATACGTTTATATCTTAATCTTAGGTCTGATCAAACAAGATAAGAGTGGTAAAAGGATACAGTAAAGGACCTTTTGTGAGAGTGTATGCCAGTCCTTAACCGCTACCCTTAGGGCTTTAGTACATTATAAGTAGACAGCCCATTTAACATATTATTTTCATATATATCATTTTATCAGAAACAAGCGTTTACTGCTCACAAATCTGTTGATATTTTCAGATTATACCACTATGCTTTTTGTTCTCCAATTAAGTAATTTTTATTAATAATAAAATTTATTATAACCTCACTTTTTCCCGATTTAAAAGATCATTATAGTTTATATGAAAAAAATGTGACATCTGTCAGATAGTTCCAACCTTTCTTCTAATAATGACAATATTATACAATAGGAGCAGAAAAAGAGTTAAATTAAATGGGATTGTAATTTTATTAAGTATTAACTTTTTAAATGAACCACTTAACAAAATCCAAAAACAGCATTTACTATCTGGTATATCCTCATGTTTCATTTTCATTGTAACCGTTTGCAGGTGTTTACTATAAACTTAATTAAACTCTGGACATTTTTCATTTAGAATGACAAACAATTTGTCTTAGGAAAATTATAAATTGATTTTAAAAATAGTCTCTTGTATTCTAAATATAAAAGTTTTAGTATTAAATTTGTTTGTTTTAATTAATGCGATATAAATCTCATGCAATATTTTATAATAAACCCATGACTTTAATAGCAGTTTTTAAATAAAAGTTT